CTCAGGAGTTGTAACGTTTAATTGCTAATGTGTTTGAATTGAGCTGCTTGATTTTTAATTCAACCTGGCACCTCTTCATGGAAAAATTTCCTCTCAGCAGCCATACGTTAAATGGTAGTGAGCCCTGAAGTCTCTGCCACCCATGAGATTTCAGCCTTTATTGCTTTGTGCAGCCCATCCATTCTTGGTTCAAGGGCAGATCCCAGTTCAGAAACTCACAGGTAAGGACATGGATTACCTGGCAAGATGTGTAAGATACACCTTTCTGTTCTCTCTGGGCCACTTGGTGGATTCTGATACATTGTCCCCTCACTTACCAAGTAGGAGTTCATTGCTCATTCAGGGAGGGAAAGGTGCCATCAAGTTCCATGGTTCTTGGTGGCCTAGTTCTTTAATGTCAGACTTTTTGCTCTTCAAAATCTTTAAACTTAAAACCAACAGAACCATCTGACATACAAAAACAGCATCTAAAAGCTCTCAATCATTATTTGTGTACTATTCTGAAATAAGATCCTGCTTAGAAGTGTGTGTGTGTGTGTGTGTGTGTGTGTGTGTGTGTGTGTGTTGTAAAAGCTCCTTAACTTTCAAGGCCAAATCCCCAATTCCCAAACACAAATGTTAGAGCTTCTTAGTGCATAGCAAGGATCTGACCACATGCTAAACATAGCTTACAGAGACACAGAGCTTACCATGTTCTGGGACTCACTTCTTTTGACTGAGGAGTATCTTCTTTCAAGTAAGTCACAGGGGTGTGTAGAAGTAGAACTTATTTCTTACACATAATTCTGGTTTGCTTCCAGGATTATGCAGATTTCTAAAAAAGGAAAGGCCCGGGAAAACAGCAAACCATTCCTTGAGACCAGACTAAAGAAGCCAAGACATGGAGAGATTACAGTTTATGGGCTGGGCAAACCTAATGGCAGCAATGCCCTGGCCTATCTCCCCCAGATGGCACTTCATCTCTACAAAGACATTGCACAGGGCTGTCCTATTCCTTGCCTTGGAAAGGAAGAAAACGTTATAGATTTCTTTGCCTCAAAGCAATCTTCTAGAGAAAGGAATTGTTCCCTCCACATCAGTATTTTACCAGAATCAAGACTTAATGGTTAAATAAAAGGAAATGAATCTTGTTCTCTCGGCTGCCCGGCATGCACATATTCCCTGTCTTTCTTCTTCCCATAATGACACTTAACTTGGTCTTAAAATGTGGCTTTTCTAAGAAGGAACTTTATGTTTTTAGAAAATAGGACTTTTTCAAAAACAGGACTTCCTCTAGCACCACTTCTTCCTATGTGAAAATTTTTGCTGTCACTTTTTCTCGTATGTACATAACCTTAAATGGGGGAATTTCCCCCCCTCCTTTTTAAAAGAGAATTTATACTGACCAAGCTACCCTCTCTCCCTCCCCACATGTCATAAAATGTCAAGACAACAGGCTGGGTGCTACAGCTAAAGAACAGAAAGAAACTACCAGTCCCATGGAGGGACCAAACTCACAAGTGTATTAAGAAATACTACGATAAGCATTCACATCCAGCTCTGTTAGATTGCAAGGGGCATTCTGTTTATTAGTCTGCTAACCATCTTTAAAGCCCTGCCTTCGTTGCCACAGGACAAAAATAGTTTATCAAAGAAAAGGTTAATTTTAAGATTCAAAGTTGTATACAAATAGATTTTAGACACACTGCCATGATACATTATTAAAATAAATAATAGGAATGTTCTTTTAATTTTACTTGAAGTTTTAATGTTTGTATTAAAATTGTTTACTTCATTTTAAAAAAAGGAAACTTAGAACCACTTATATCATTCTTTCACATTGTACTCAAGTTACTGAAGATGTTATAAGCCCTAGAATCCCATGTTTTCGCACTATACCCCCATTCCCAAATCAGTGAAAGGATGAGAAAGGAAGTGACAACAATTAAACACAACTTAGATTTGGGGGGAAATGATTTGTGTTCAGAAATCAATGTGTTCCTATAGATACCTGGGGATTTTAAGTCAAACACAGAGAGGCAAGCCAGTGCGTTCCAACGCTGATGTTCAAAGGCTCTCTGAAGAATACTAAATAAAACCAGGCATAGTGTTTTAAATATGCTTTCTAACTACTTTAGGTATACTTTATAAGTAACAACTTGAAATTCAACTCTGGTTTACATCTCTTTAAAAAAAACACTTGTTCTAAATTTATTTGTATGATGTCGATTACATGAATAAAATAAAAGCTGAGAAACTCGCCCTAAGAAAATGTTTTTTTGCTCGAAACCCTGTCCTGCTACCTCTTCGAGCTTCTTGAAAATGAAAATCTCTGTGTCTTCCAGATGACAGCTACCTTTTCGGTGGAACCAAAATAGCTCTCTCAGGTAGAAAGCTGTCTGTCAGTAAGAGTTCTGACAGGTATCTGATTTGGCATGCAGGAGGAAGGCAAGAAATGGTCCCATGGTAGGAGGTTCAGTGGCAGCACCCGATGAGCTAAGGAGCAAGAAAGGAGGGGTGCTTTGAAAACAATGCACTCCTAGACACTAGATCAAGCACGAGGAAACCAGTGGGCATTTCTGGAAATGACAGGTAACCTAGAGGGGAGAATAGAGCCATTAGCTCTTGTGGGATTTTGAAAAGGCTGTGCAATATGCAACCAATGGGAAGATTTCCATTTGTAAAAGGAATCAAATCCACTTTCATGCATAGGATTTTCTCTCCCTCTAGTGGTGGGGTGGTAGTCTTTGAAGTGATAGGCTATCACTGCATAAGATGTTTCCATTATAGCGCATTTTGCCCATAAAATTAGGATTTTCATTAGGTGTGCTGCTATCTCTTACAGGGTTTTTCAAAAACATCCCTAGCTCTTCTTGTTAGGGAGTTAATTGCCTCCTAAGCATGCTGATCAGCAGTGGTAAGGTAGCAAGGTGCTCCCTTTCCTTTGGCTAAAGGATGCCCATGCTCACTTCTGAGATACAGGGTTCCCTCTCCTCCGCAGTCCTATCAGAGGTGGAACTTTCCTGATCCCAGGTCTGGGCAAGAAAGACCTGTGGAGCTACATGAGAAAGAGAAAGCAAGCTAACCTAGAGTAAAGGTGGGAAATATAAAAACTCAGAGGAGAGAAATTATTAAAAGGTCTAAAGAGTGATCTGAACATGACAGGACAATAATTAGAGATAAACATTGGAACAAATCTCCACCTCTACTTTGCAGTCTCTGTCATTTCTCTCATTTTTCTTTTTTGACCATGTGAAAATACTTCTGGTGTAGCAATTTGGATCAATGATAGTGGGTGAAAAAATAAAATGGATAGAAAAAGTAAATAATGACAATTTTAAGGAGAGTAACTCAAATTGGCTACATGAATGGATTAAATTGCATATCATATCTGTATCGGAGTATGAATGGGAATAGTTGTAGGTAATAGCTGTCTAATTAATAGATTACTTATTGATCAATAACTGAAAATCTATCAGTGTGAAGTGAAGTATGCAGACTATGTGGCTTCTCCCCTGTTCCACATTCAGTTAGGCATCAAAGATGCCTACTTCACTTCTCCTCTTGTAAGTCTCTAAGGCAACCAAACTCATATTTTTCTGCAAACCCTCTTCTCTTCTAGTTCCCTTATCTCAGTGAATAGCTCTATCACTCATCCAGTTTTACAAGCCAGAAATCTAGGAGTTACCTGACCCCCACCTAGCCTTCCGCCATCATATCCAACCCATCACCAAATCCTTCAATCATACTTTCTAAAGCTGTCTCACACAGGCCAATTTCTCTTTGCCTCCACCATGACACTATTCCATCACCTCCCTCCTAAAAATAGGGCTTCCATGCCATCCTTTGTCAAATGCATTATCCACACTGCCCTCCTTCATTCAAAAAATATTTGTGAGGGGCCTATTTTGTAATCTGGTAATACTGTGTTGAATAAGACAAATTCTCCATAAACATCAGATCTTCATAAGTACTATGTGGAGAATTAAAGTAGGGAGACATAACAGAGAATGGCTGAATGACTAGTCTGAGCTGTGTGTGCAAATGCAGGAAATCAATGATAGTTTCAAAGAGGGGTATGAGTTTCCAAGCAGGAAAAATAAAGGAAGTCTGCTGGAATGATGGCATCTGCTACCAAGGCTTCCTCTCATATAAAAAGATTGTTTTGAGTACTGGCCAAGAACATAAGGAAGAATACAGGCATACCCCAGAGGCATTGCAGGTTTAGTTCCAGGCCACCATAATAAAGCAAGTATAGGCACACCTCAGAAATATTGTGAGTTTGGGTTCCAAACCTTGGCGGGTCTTGACTTCCATTTTATAAAAAAAAATGCAACACCTGTGAAGTGCGGTAAAACGAGTTATGCCTGTAAGTTAAAATGCACTAGAAGGCTCAACCTAGGTCTGTTTGTCTCCAAGCACCTCTGCTTAAATATTAACACTTTTCACCTGCATGAAAGTATCCCATTGTTGTTAACTTTTCTGTATGTCTTCCCTCCCAAGCATGTAAGCTCCGTGAGCATACTGTCTTCCTCACTGCTGTGCCTAAGAAGTGTGCCTGGTATTGAGTAGACTCGCAAATAAGTATTTGTTGCATTAATGCACAAATTGGTGTGTGAAGTGGGACAGTAGACAGAGAAAATCATTGAGCGGGTTTGGGGGTTCAGGAAGTCTTCGAGGTATGCCAAGGTCATTGACTTCAGTTCGAAACGTTAACGGTGGTATAAAATCCCGGCCACGTTTCTCAGCTTTGAATCCTCCTCGCCGCCAGCTCTCACTCAAACGCTTTCACAGGCTCCCAGTCACAAACCTCTCCAGCTCCCCGCTAGGAGGAGTCACCCCTTCTGACCCGGAAACCCTCACTCGCTCTCCTCTATTGCTCTTTCCCTCCCGCCCCGCCAGGGTGCCGGGAGCCTTCGATTCGCAGTGCTCGCTGGGAATAGAAGTCTTCCCGTTGGAGCCTATGGAGTTGTACACGTTTTCAGAACTACACTTCCCAGAGACCCTCGCGGCAGAGGGAGGCTGCGTCAATTGACGGACGCCGAAGGGGCAATGGCGGCGCCCGTGCTGCGCTGGTGCTGTCCCGCAAGGCGTTGGATTTTAGCCAACATTGACCGCGGTCCTCGCCACGGAAGAGGGGCTCCGACTGGGTCCAGGTCCAGCGGGAAAAGGGGACAGAGCTCAGTGGCTCAGCAGCCCCTCGTCACGGCCCAGAAGCCGAGGAAAGGGTATACGATCTCATACCATCCTGCCCAATCCAGTGTGCGGTGCCACTGCGGGACTGGGAAGATGATGGCCACCCAGCCCAGCAGTCAGTTCGGACCTTCTGTTGAGTGGGAGGGCGTTGGGCTGTAACTTGCAGCCTGGGAAGCACAAAACTTGTCCTCTGTGAGCCCCGCCTCCGCACAGAAACCGCCCTCGGCAAATAGATACAGTGTGTTGGGGGAATTCGCAAGTGTAAAGTCGCAGGTGTTTTAAGTCAAAAGCTGCTACACAGACCGAAGAGCGGATTCAGGCACCGCACTAGTCGTCCCAGCAGCGGGGTCTGTGGCGCTAGAAGCGGGATCTCATTTAGCTGACATTTAGCATTGCTACGGCCAGCAGTGTCCTAAAGGTGGGAAGGGAGCCTTTACCTAGAAGCGCCGGATAGTGGTGGCTTAAGGGCCTTAGTCGGGAAGCACCGCCTTCTGTGGAGGCCTTTCATTGGGGAGCATGGATGTCTAGACACAAGACGATGCAGCCAGTACAAGAAATCGTCACTCTGGTTGTGCAGAGAGCTTTGTTTATTCTGCTAGATATCCCCTGAACAGCTGTTAATTCTTTACAGCATAAGACTTAAAACCGTTTCTTTTTAAAACGTAAATATAAGGCACATGTCTAATACTGTTAACCCTATGAGATAGTTAGGTTGGCATTACTTTTGCTTCTCAGTTGGAGGGAAAGTGTCCAGAAAATTGATTTCTGTGCTTTTCATAAGTTGGATCACCTCACTGTAAATGGAAAGTATTTTTTTTTCTCTCACGTAACGAAACTGAAAAAGTACTTTGAATAATGTTTTAGGGAAATGCAGAATTTCTAACGAAGTCTTCATTTAATTCCTCTCAATTATAGGCGATGCTTCCAAACCGTAAAAAGAAGGAATTAATCTCACAATATTGTAGATATAGAACTTCATATGTTGGAATGATTGAAACAAAATCCAAAACATGTAAACAAAAATCTAGACAATATAGAAAATTGCTTGGGAAAAGAGCAGGATAGGAACAGACAAAATATGAAAAGAGATGTGTGACTAGGCGATCTGCAAATTGGGTTTCAGAGGGACACTTACAAGAACCTGGAGAGACCTGTATATGGGACTTTCAAAGATCCAACAGAGGGGTGGCCAGATTAGAGAAATTATAGCTTTTAACAGCTTCTTAGATTTTATAGCAATCAAGCATAAGCAAATAAGCAAAAGAACTTGAACCTAGATCTGGGTAACTGAAAGTAGTTTGGGAACAAAACAAAACAAAACAAAACAAAAAGCCAAATCTGATGGTTTAATGTTTTCCTGTGCACAAAATTTCCAGGAGTATTATTTAATAGTGATCGATTACATCCATGTCACTGATAATTTTACTTATGAACCACTGTTATAAAAAGGAATTGAAAACATAACAGAATTTCTCTTTCTTAATAATGAGATGTGCAGCTATTTATTTACCATTATTTATCTAGTAGTAGCATCCTGACGTTAACTCTAAAAATGTGTACCAGGTCAGCTTTCTTCATTTGCTGAGTGATTAATTGATAAAGGACCGTTAATTTAGTAAGGGCTGCTTTTCACTGAAGTCAGCCACGCAGGCACTACCTGATACCCATTGCTAAATTAAGATGTCAAATTGTTCCTTTCTCTGTGGCCTCCTGTTTGTACAGTGAACTCTATGCCACGTTGTAAATGAATTTTATTTTGCTGGTCTTGTAGGTGTTTATCATGAATTGCTTTTGATTTAATCACTACTACAAGATGACACATTTTTAAATGTAAGGAAATAAAATGTGAATAAGTTAAAAACAAATAGGAAATTAACATTTGTGGTTTAGGCTCATAGAAATTTATGTGTGGGGACAGATCTAACTATTGCTTAACCATTATATCTTTCTCTTTAGTGAACACCAGTGGGCAGCCGTGGTGGGTTTGGAAATCCATGCCCAGATTTCCTCCAACTCGAAACTCTTCTCTGGATCCCAAGTCCACTTTGCAGCACCTCCAAATTCTTTAGTATCTTTTTTTGATGCATCTCTGCCTGGAACTTTGCCGGTAAAGTTTTTATTTAATACTCTTTACATTAGAAAGTGTTTATGTTTTATTGAACATAGATCATGATTTCTTTGTTTTACTATCTTGGCACAGCTCTTAGGAAATATTTGCTTAGGGAATTTTGGATGAAATAGGATGGACTGAATGTTTTCTAAAGACCCATCTCTATAATTCTTTTTTTAAGTCTAAATAGCATGTTTATTTATCCATTTATTCTCTCATTTCACACGCATTTTATTTTATTTTTTTAAATATATTTTATTGATTTTTTACAGAGAGGAAGGGAGAGAGAGATAGAGAGTTAGAAACATCGATGAGAGAAACATCGACCAGCTGCCTCCTGCACATCTCCTACTGGGGATGTGCCCGCAACCCAGGTACATGCCCTTGACCGGAATCGAACCTGGGACCTTTCAGTCCGCAGGCCGATGCTCTATCCACTGAGCCAAACCGGTTTCGGCTCACACGCATTTTAGAATGTCTACTCAATACCAGACACTGTGCTATAAACTGGAAAATAAAGATGAGCAATGATCCTTGCCTTTGAGTTCAAAGACTATTTGGGGAGGTGTGTCTTATAAACAAATAGAGTGCTGGGTGATTACTCCTGGGAGGGTAATAGGCAGAGCATGGGACAGGTAATCAGTAAGAGAAGGACTATTATGAGAAATTGGAGTAGGGGTATAGTTGGTTAAGAAAGGGTGTTGGAAGAGGTCGTATCTGAGAGGCCAGGTAGGAGTTAGGCAGATAAATGAAGGAAGAGGACTTCAGTTAAAGGAAACAACAGCATATATATCACATGATATTGCAGTATAAGGTCAGTAATGATTGTGGTTGTTGAAAATTAAGAAGTGGTCAAAATGGAAAAAAAATCAACCACAATATACATTAACTACTCATTTATCTACTCATTTTCACTTAAGCCCAAGGAATGACTGGGTATAGCATACTCATCAGCAAAATTTTAGCATATACTTTCATAGAATTGGCTGAATTTCAACCAACTCTAGGATGGAAGGAACAGTGTGACCATTGGTGCTAATAAATGGCTCATAGTCTGTCTAGAATAGGGGTGGGCAAACTTTTTGACTCGAGGGCCACAATGGGTTCTTAAACTGGACCGGAGGGCCGGAACAAAAGCATGGATGGAGTGTTTGTGTGAACTAATATAAATTCAAAGTAAACATCATTACATAAAAGGGTGCGGTCTTTTTTTTTTTTTTTAGTTTTATTCATTTCAAATGGGCCGGATCCGGCCCGCGGGCCGTAGTTTGCCCACGGCTGGTCTAGAACATATAGTTTCGGAGGTGGCGTTTCCTGTCATCCTTAGAGAAAATGTATATATGGTGGTGAAGAGGGGTGGGAGGATTATCCTAAGTGAATTCCATACTCTCACATTTAAATCCAAGTGAAAGATGGTTGAACTGAGCACTGGAAGGCGTGTAGGGACAGAGGTTTACTTTTCTTAGGGTCACTGCCCAGGGTGGAAGGTTGTGAGCAGTGCCTCCAATGTGCCTGCTGTTCCAGGGCTTTGGTTGTATTGGGGAAGTTTCTCTATCTCAGAACATTTTCCTTACTTGTGCTTTTTATCCTTGCAAACAGTATCTAAGGTCACCTTTATTTGATGTTGGGTCACTCTGGGGGAAGACAAGTAAAGGGTGTCTGTCTGCCCCTCCCTCCAGCTTAGAGTATTTGTCTATGTATGGAGAGATTGTTTTTGTCTGAAAAGATGTAGTTTTTCAGCTACAAATACATGAGTTCAGTGGAGTGATGGGGATAGAAGGTAGTGGCAATAGATTGGAAAATTGGTGAGTGTTGAAGAAGAGGTGAGAGAGTGGACAACTCTTTAAAGAAGTTTGGCTATGAAGGAAAAGAGAATGCAGTAGGTGCAAGAAGATCAAGGGAAAATTTTTATTAGTCCTGATTTCCTTAATATTGAAAAGGCTTGAGAATGTTTAAATGTTTAAATGAGTTATAGTCTGCAATACTGTATTATATACTTAAAAATGTGTTTTAAGAGGGAAGATTTTATATTACATGTTCTTATTGCAGTAAAATAATTTTCTTAAAATGCTGATGAGCCAATGAAGAAAGGGCAGTTAAAGAAGCATTTGATTAATATGGCAAATTGAACATATACATTTAATCTGCCTCTCTGTCCACCCCAAAGAAATCCTACGGAAATAATGGTAAAAGAATTTAAAAGTTATAAACCTCCAAGAGAATAGGAGAGAAGACCAAAGTGCATGAGAGATGGTAGATGGAGAAGGACCTAATGAGCAGAGCAGGCTTCACTCTTCTGGAAGAAAGGGACAGAGAGCCTGCAAAAAGAGACACTAGTGAGAAATGAGATGGTGTGTCCTATGTAGCTTCGGAAAGGGTCAGGATGGGAGCTGCAGGTATTGAGGAAAGCCAGAGGGAGGTGAAAACAAAGGGGCTAATTCAGTCTGCACACAGAACAGTTAGACCAAAGGTCCTCTCCCTGACCCTCTGCAGCTGCACCACCTCCACAGAAATGTATAGTTTAGGGAGAAAGTCGGCTGGCGACACACTCCTCCTGAAGACCCCAGGCAGAGGAAAAGGCACTGTATCAGACGCTTACTGAACTCTGGGGGCTACTTAGCCTTTTACCTGCCCTGTTTGAGGACCTCAAATGACCTGGAACTGCTATCTCTCCTCCTCCCCTCCTCTCCCAAGCAGGAATTTGCAGAAATTTGTTTGAAAAGGACATGTCCCTAGGGAAGAATTGGAGGTCAGGGGCAGAGGTTTCTCAGTAAAAAAGTATAACACACATTCAGAATTAGACAATGGGGGGGGAAAGAAAATGAGAGGATCAATCTCATTTTGTCCAACGTTTGATTAATAAGAGTTCCAGAAGAGAGAAAATAGATAAGAGGAAACTATCAAACAAATAACATGGATTAGTTTCCCAGAACTGAAGGACATGTCTCCAAACGGAAAGGGCCTGCCAACAACCCAGAACAAGGAGTAAAAATAGTCTCCCAGGCCAGGCACATCATCCCGAAGTGTAGGCATGCCAGGGGTAAAGATTAGATACTAAAGCTTACAGAGAAGAAACGAAAGGTCACGTGCAAAGGATGAGGAATCAGAAAGGCATCGGTCTTCTTAAAAGCAACAAACACTTAAAGCTCGAAGAGAAGGGAACAGTGCCTTAAAAAAATCTTAGGGGAAAAAAAAAGTCATTCTAACCTAGGTACCCAGCACTATAAATCAAGTGTGACAGTAAAATAATGGTATTTTCAGACAGGCAGATTCTCCAAAATTTTTCATTATCATGGGAACCTGGAGTAATGGAGAGGTTCCAGACTGCCAGCTCTGCAGCAGACCCAGAGGGCCCGATGGGAGGGGAGGATGGAGGATTCCAGAACAGAGAGGATTCAAGAAAAAAGAGAGGTGGGCTGGGAACAGCAGATATCTAATGTTTGTGTGGAAAAGAGATTTTACATATAAACTAGAGTCTTTGAGAAGAATAAGCCATAGGTAATAAAAAGTGAAGCAAATGAAAGAGACCTGTTAACTCCAAGAAAAACTAAATGTTTAAGAAAGGAAACGTAGCCATAGTATACTCAACAGTTCGGCAACAAACATACTTAAATAATAATAATAATTAATAATAATAATAAAGGCACCAACTACTGATTTAACTATAACTGGGATATTGAAAAATAAAAGAACTAAATTCTTTTCTACCATAACTGGAAGTCATGGTCTAAATTGATAAAGCAAGAAGAAAGGATTGTAAGACTATGTTTTTGGAACATTTTTGGCCATGTGAGGGGAGGCCTCTTCTTTTTAGATCCTAAATTGGTCAGATGGTTTTTGTTTTCTTTTTTTGGCTATTATTTCTTTTTCCTTTTTTTTAAACAAAGCAATGAGTGAAAGGTTTAGAACTCTCAAGAGTCAAAGGTGTTTTTAACAAAGTTTTAAAAAACTTTATATGAAGATAATATTAATCATCAAATATTACCTCTACTGGTTCCTCAGCCTTCTGCTGGTGAAATTTTTCTTTTTTCTTCCCAGAGTCCAAACAGTGACAGTTGCACCCATCTGCTCACCCTACCCTGTTCTTAGGAGGAATAAGTTCATCCACATTCTAGATTATTCACACCCACGCTCATGCTTGTCCTGCATTTCCCTTTTCCCCTGAGGGTGAAGTGACCCAACTTTTTGGACTCAGCTTATCTCGGAGATGCACTGAGGGGCAGCATAATTTGTTCTTAAATAGAAATATAATAAAGTAGCAAGCATGAGTAAATTCTTATGAGACAGAGTAAGATATAAAAGTATTGCAAAATATCTCACCTTGTAACTTATACAAATGATCTCTTGTATAAGTTACAAGGGAAGGGAAAGGAGGGGAGGGGGGAGGGGAGGAGGGGGAGGGGAGAGGGGGAGGAGAGGGGGAAGGGAAGGGGCTGAGTCTTGTGGCTCCGTGTTCTAAAAACAAGAACACTGTGTCATTGGGACAGTTTATCAAGTCTGTCTTTTTCCCAGATTAAGGAAAGATTGTCACAATGCAAATGGCCACAAGCCTTGGCAAGCAGATGATGGATTTTCCAAAGTTCTCCTGGCACAGCATGTTATTTGAAAATAGGAAGATAGGTACCAGATAAGACAGCTCAAAGATCTAAAAGTGGTTGCTGCCAGGGAACAGGGCTGGCAGGGGAGGGTGGTGGGAATGACTGCTTTTCATTATAATTTCAAGATATATGTCTATAATATTTTGTTCAACAATTAAATGTTAGCTTTAAAGAAGTAACATATAGGGGAGAAGAAATTATTAACAGAATCAGGTTCCTGAGAAAGCAAGGGGTGTCCCCAGAGCAGAGACAGCTCTCCCACTGTAACCTGAGGGAAGGTGTGCCCCTCTGCCCACTGGTAAAGGCAACTTTTTAGGTTGGGTTGTGGAGGGTTGAGGAAGCTCTCATCTGATTTCTTCCTTTTCTAGCAAACACTATTTCTTACATATCACTCTCCTT